CATATCGCAAAGAGAATAAGGGCGTACCAACTTAGATAATAGTCGAATTTGGGATCTGATCTTGTGATTATCAAGTCAATAATCAAACTAACTTAGCTATGATTGTCTCAAGAGAATCTCAAATTTGTTAATAAGTCCTTAATCCCATGAGAACAAGGATTTAGGTGAGGATGTATGGTCTAATCCACATCATCCAATTAGAAAATTGCACGGTCTGGATTTGGTTCTTAAAATCATGGGATTTGAACTTTTAAAAAGCTCGCAGAAAAATTGCTAAAAAAATAATATACCATCCAAAAAATAACGATCATCAGATCTTACAAAATCAACTGCAACAAATACACCAAACGTTCACACCTAAAGACTTGTTCACACCTGAATAGAAATCTTTGGTTATGGTCCTTAATCCCATGAGAACAAGGCTTTAAGTGAGGATATATGGTCTAATCAAAACACCATCCAATTAAAAAATTGCACGGTCTAGATTTGGTTCCTAAAATCATGGGATTTAGTAAACATTGTGTGAGATGTTATCCAAATGATTTTGTACTAATATTTTGGCACATCAATTTCTTTATAATTTTACACTTAAATAACTTATAAATATTTTTCCATTTAAACTATAAACTAAAATAAATTATCCAAATGCGCACAGTACTCCGCCAAAATGCACAACCTGCGTAACAAAAATCACATATGGTCGTACCTTTGTGGTCAACTATTTACGTCTACTTGAATGAACATTGTGCGCCCACTGCAATTAATTATGACCCATCCGCCCATCAAAGTACCACATTCAAAAAAATAATAAACTCAAACTTTCGCACATGTCAACGGTCACAAACGCACACACCTACGCACCACATACAAAATTAAAATACCAAACGAACTTACCGACGACATCTTCTGCCATGTGCAAATTCTGGATGACTGACTTTGATTGTGGCTCTTCACACACAATTTTTTTTTTTAAATCTTAGTATTAAAAACTAGAATTATTTCTTACCATGGATAGGTTTCCTTAAAATATGAAAAAGATTCTATTTCATTTATAATCAAATTCAAACAACATAATTAAATTACAATCTCACCCTTTTGTATTAATTTTTCCTAATATAATTTCTATGTTAATCTCAATCCTATAATTCCTAATATATATATATATATATATATATATATATATATATATATATATATATATATATATATATATATGTAGTTATACCTCCTGCAGTTACCGTTAAAACTTGTTCATGACACCTCGCCGTCTAACAAAAAAAAAAATGATAGAATAAATCTTTATGTATCTCATTTTTCTTTGTCAGTTTACGCGATGATAAGTTTGATTTTACAACACACTTTTTATTTTTTCCTTTTGTTTTTGTTTTTCTTACATTGATAATTCACTTGATGGTTGTTCATTTTTACTTTTTTAGTATTTACTATAGGAAAATGATTTTTACCTCTCTTGAATTTATCTTATTATAGTTTTCTTTTTTATATGACTTTATTTTATTCATTGAGTGTTCATTAATTTACTAACACCATCACTAATTAAAAAAGAAATATAATTAATAATCAAATATTAAAAAGTTCAATCAGATGATGCTCCTTAAGAAGAAAAATTATAAGAAAAATATAAGAGTATATAGCATTATTCTTTATTATATACTACTAATTTTTTACGCGCTTTGCGCGAATGTGATAATGCCCAATAATTATTTTTAAATAAGTATTTCAAAGTATATCAATGCAATATTATATAAGAGATGTTCATGCATAGGTAAATAAATGTTGAATTTGTTTATTTAAATCAGTAATTTAAAGTATATAAATGCAAGATAATATATGAGAGATTGATTATAATTGTCACTAAAATAAATGTTTGCAACTTGTAATAATGCTAGTCTAAATACTTAGTCTAAAAGCGATAGTCTAAATAAATACTACTTTTGATTTAAATTTCTCTAATTCTCTTTTAGTAGCACTATCATTTTCTTCAATTTATTGGTAGTGTGTCATGTACAATTGGGTTACTGGTGGTAGCATAGAGGGATCGTGCAATGAGATTATAGTGTAGGAAGCTTTAGATTTGCGTTGCTGTGTATATGATTGTGAACTTAGTTGTACTATGAACTCTTTATCTTACAAGCACCTATTGATATTTGGTAGTGATAGTTTTTCCCTACATGTTTTATGTGTTGTGAGATGTATATCGTAGGTTATCATGTGAAAGTATTGAATAAAATATTAATATTTATTATATTTGTATAAAATACTTCGTAAATAAATATATATAACATATTTTGTATTATAACTTTGATATTTAATTACAAGATAATGTAAAAAGAAGAAAATGGACAATGTAGTGAATATAATAAATTAATAAATTTGAATGTAATGAATCTTTGAATTGTAAAAAATAGAGATAATATAACTAATGAAATTATATATCTTCTTAAATTTTTTATAATGAACAATTTTTTTTTTTAAATAAAGGCATTATAGACATATAATTCTAAATTAATTAAATGCATATGTATTATTTTTTGTTTAGCTACTAATTTATTTAATTTAATAAGAGTAATAAAGTGGCGTACATACTTTTCATCAACAATAATGAAATCATTGATTTTTTAAATTTCCATTCGTTGTTGAGACAAATTATTTTGAGAGTTTGTCAATGAAATTGCTACAATTGCTGTCAATTGATAATAAATAATTCAAAATATATGGTCACAATAGATATTGTTATAATGATATAGTAAAAATTAAGTTAACTTACAAATTTCTTTAGAAGTTTTCATATTGATAATATTCTGATGTGTAAACTTATTCAATTGGGGCCAGTGGGATGTCAACATTGTCAATTCTTTGAAAAATGGTCGTACCGTTTTAGAGTCCAGGTGTAATTGTATTTATAATCGACAATTTTGTAGTTAGGTCGCATAGGTCTGACAATGATGTAAGAACAATTTTGTCCTGATAAAAAAAAATAATAGTATAATATTTGTAAAGTAATGTACAATTGTACCATTATAAAAATACATACAAAAAAAATATTAATACCATAATGACCTAAATTATTTCAATAATCCAAAAACATAATTGAAATATTAAGGTTTGTTCCAAATAATCAAAGGAAGATTAATTAAACGAAAAAAAAAAAAAAAAAAAAAACTTAACCTAAATTTGTTTTTTTTTTTTTTTAAAATGCAAGAAAATCAAATGATTTTTAAAGTTCATGATTTATAATCTTTGATGCTCAACTTTGAATTCTATGTATTTAGTAGGGCTAATTATTTGACCAAAATTTATGTTAAATTATATATATATATATATATATATATATATATATATATATATATATATATATATATATATATATATATATATATATATATATATATATATATATATATATATATATATATATATATAATACGTTTTAACATATTCGTAGTATATGTTTAACAATTATGCCAACTCTAATTGGGATGTGGTCCGAATCTAAGACCTTTTTATAGAAATTAATGAGTAAGTTAAGAATAATAAATAGTTAACGGAATATTCCGTTACTAAAGTTTATACTAACGGAATTTAAGGTTATTTAAGGGAAGAAAATAATATAATAGAGGGTAAATAATAAAAATCATTAAATAATACTAAAATCAAAATAATATGAACCATTTATTTTAAGAAACAATTATACCAACATTTTTTTATTCTAGTTAAGGGCCTAACATTATTGGCTCTTATTAAATTTGTATTTGTATGTAGATGTGTACTTCTTTAAATTTTCATAAAGTTTGAAGTTTCATTATTATTTTCAAATATATCAAAACTTAAAATTAAGGTCCATTTTAAAATGTGTGTTTTTATTTATTTGTTTAACAAAAAATAAAAATAAAAACACAAACAAATATGTCTAGTTTTTGTCCGTAAAAAGACTAATGAATTCGTACAATGATATGGAGGGGGGCCCAAAATGGAGAATGTTCCTATGGAGAGCCGTTAGTAATAGATTGCCCACTACTACAAACTTGCTTATAAAGAGGGTGGAGGTGGATCCAAGATGTGCCATGTGTGGATTATTTCAAGAAGACATAATGCATGCGTTGGTGTTGTGTGATTTTGCAAAGAACATTTGGGATAAATCTAACCTCACAATTCCAAATATAATCACAAATATTTTTTATGTTTGGTTTGATGAACTTCTAAATGTTCTAGACTCTGATGGGATATTCTATGCAGTAGTAATACTTTACAATATATGGAGAGCAAGGAACAGGGTCGTATGGGAAGCAACATTGCCACGGCCGGAAGCGGTCCTCAAAATTGCCGCGGCTGCCAAGCTGGCTTGGTCTCGGGCGCACCCGCAACAGCACACGGCACTGCCCACCACGCTCCTAGCAGCGCCAAATCAGTCGCAAGAAAACGCCAATCTCCGTGCGCCAGTTTCCACTGCTGCCAAACCACCTGGACTGCCAAGGCGCATATGCCGTGTGGACGGGGGGTATTTGCAGGAGACGGGGCAAGCTACTTTGGGGGTACTGTTACTAGACTCGGACGGGGGGTATTTGCAGGAGACGGGGCAAGCTACTTTGGGGGTACTGTTACTAGACTCGGACGGGGGGTATGTCTCGGCATTCAGTGGACCACTACAAGGATGCTCCTCACCACTTATGGCAGAGGTGCTCGCATGTAAGGAGGCTCTATCGTGGTTGAAAGATCGGGGAGAACAGAATGTTGAGATCTTTACGGACTGTTTGACACTACATCACTATCTTACTACTCCAACTATTGTGCTGCGCACATATCTAGGCTATGCCATTGACACTTGCAGGCTTATTGCATCTTCGTTTCAGTCTTGTTCGTTTTATTTTATTCCTAGAGTACAGAACCATTTAGCTCATGCTTTAGCTACTACGGCTTATCAGCAAACTACAATTATGTATTGGGATCTACACCCACCGGATATTATTTCGGCCTATTTTTAATGAAGCATCATAAAATTTTTTCAAAAAAAGGAGGGGGGGGGGGGGGGGGGAGGGGGTATGTTTTGCGGGATCCATATTTAACACACCTAATAGCAATTATTATTATTATTATTATTTTGAGACACAAAAAAAACTTTCATTAACTCAAGTCGAAAGAACAATACAAATGAAAGCAGGAGGACTATCACACCACTCCATACAATCTGACATGGAAATAGACTCTTGCACTAAGTAATCGGCCGCCTGATTCGCATATCGTCTAACAAACTTAATAAAAATGTGATCAAAACGTACTTATCATCATTTCCTTGATATCTTGAATAATTAGATTAAAAGAGGAACCTCCTATGTTACCTATTGACAATCACTTTCCACATGAATGAAATCACAATTTCTCTGCTTAACCCAACTCAGTGCTTCCCGAATGGCCATTACTTCCGCTTCCTTAGGGCTGAAAACTCATCTCCAAGGCACGATCCTAGCAGCAATGAAACCTTCATGCTCATCTCTAAGAATGAAATTAAACCAAAACCCATCTTCCCAGCTTCTTTATGCACAGTACAATCACATCTACGTATCTGCATATGTTGTACAACAGACGCAAAAAACTGGTTTTGTATTAGTGACATTCTCAAGAAAAAGGGGGAAAAGTTGACACTTCAGCATTAACTTTATTTGGTAGACATCACTTAGTAGTCATGCCAAATTTTAATACTGATCCCATTTCCATTCTCCATCCAGAGTGCCTTCTAATGACATATTGGCCTTGTTTGGTAAAAAATTAGCCTATAGGTCAATTTTGATTTATTTGACCACTATTAATTGTTTGATTTAGTTAAAATATCAATATAAATATTTGGTTAATTAGCTTTTTGCAACTCCAAAAAGCTAAAATTGAAAAAGCTACCCCAAGCAACTTTTTCATTTACCTTTTTGAGAAAAGAAATTATACCAAACAGCTAACAGCTAATTTACCAAACACTTTTCTACAATCAGCTAATGTTATCAACTATTTATACCCTCTAATTAACACAATCAGCTAACAACTAACAACTATAAGCTAACAGCCATTTTACCAAACAGGGCCATTGAGTTTTCAGCAAACTAGACCAAATGAAAGAAGGATGGTGCTGAATAATACGCCAGGATTGTTTACACAACATAGCCACATTAATATTCACTATTCAATGTTTGTCATTTCATAAAGTATAATTTCTATCACATGTACAAATTTTATTGGGTAGAAAAAACAATGAACGAATAAAAATAGTGGCTCACTTTGTCTTTTAATTTTCAAAAATCAAATGAAAAATAGAGTAGAAAGTGAGGGATATTATTGATGTGTTATAGTCGTCTTCCGTTCAAGGTCTGAATGAGGAGACCCGATAAAGAAAGCGGCGGCATTACGTATACTATATTAAGACCAGAGCCCAAATACTAACCACGTAGACAAAAACAGTGAAAAAAGATGTAACAAGTCTGGGTGGTGTAGTTGGTTATCACGCTAGTCTCACACACTAGAGGTCCCCGGTTCGAACCCGGGCTCAGACATTAGTGCAAATGTTTTATTTACAACCCGGTTAAAACATGTTGACTGCGTTTGGTATGGATTTAAGTAAAAAAGTTTGATATTTAATAGACATAGCTATTTTCTTTTCCATATCTATTTTTTTTTTAAACTGTCAATTAATCTCTTAAACTTGTTAAAAACATGCTGAGTGCGTTTAGTATGGATTTAAGTAAAAAAGTTTAATAGTAAATAGAAATTAGAGTCTAAATAATTAATTAATTAAATTAAAAATATATATTACATACACATATACACATACATATGTGTGTGTATATATATATATATATATATATATATATACATATTAAAGTTTTATATTTAATATATGAATAATAACCTTTTTATTTTATTTTTTTCCCCTCATTTTTTTCAAAAGTAAGGGAAGAAAATTGTAATTAATTTTATAATTACTTAAACAGCACGTTTGGTTCACGGAATGAATTTGGAGGGAATAAGAATGTTATTTAACAGGGAATGGAATAGGTAAGGAATAGAATAGGAATTGTATTCTGTTGTTTGGTTGTCTGAAGGAATAGACTTTAGTAATTATATTCATGTGTTTGGTTGGTTAAAGGAATAGAAATGGAATAGATTTTAAAGACATAAATACCATTATACAAAATAATAATAATAATAATAATAATAATAATAATAATAATAATAATGAATATGAATATGATTATGATATACTGAATGTTATATATATATATATACATGTATATGCATGTGTGTGTGAGAGAGAATAATAATTATAATAATAATCATAATAATCATAATAATAATAATATACAAATACATATTTATATTAATATTTATTATTATTATTATTATTATTATTATTATTATTATTATTATTATTATTATTATTATTATTATTACACAAATACATATTTATATTAACATTTATTAAAGGAGCTTCAAGGCTCCATAATTTTAATTGCAATGCTCATCCGCTAGGCAAGCTTGCAATGCCCTTCCGCTAGGCATGCAGATGGGTAGGCTACTTAATTTAGGAGCCAAGGCTCCATAATTAAGGAGTCTTATACAGTTAATTTTTTTTTATTTATATGTATATAATATAATAAGCTGTCAAGGGTGTTTTGAGAAAATACTTTTCTTTTTCCAAAATGCTAATTGCAAACACTGCAAAATGTGTGTGTGTGTATATAGATTGATGGATAAAAATTATAATTAATTAAATATATACATTTATATAATAAATTATATTTATTAAATAAATATAAATATTATATAATGTGCAAAATTATAATTAATTAAATATATACATTTATATAATAAATTATATTTATTAAATAAATATAAATATTATATAATGTGCAAAAGGTATTTTTGGTATTTGTGATATAAAAGTTATTCCCAAGGGCATGGGAATAGCTAATACCAAGGCCCCCCTAGGAATGACTATTCCTCTTGTAAAGGTAATAGCTCATTCCTAGGCATGTTATTCCCATGACAAAATGATCCAACCAAATGATGGAATAGGTCTATTCCACGGAATGTTATTACATTCCTGACCTATTCCATGAACCAAACATGCCGAAAAGGATTTGAATTCAATAGTGTGATATCAAAAGTAGAGAGACAAACATGATAATGTGTATCAAATCTCATAGTAGGGTACAAAAGCCTCCAACCAAATATAACCGCAATTAGCATTTTTGTCTCAGTAATCAATTAAATTTTGTTTATGTGACATCTATATATGTGTTTAATACTAATGTGACATCCCGATTCACAAATTAAAATAAATCTAATTCTTATTTAAAAAAATTCCTAGCCAAACTTCTTTGTGAAGATTGAAACGAAAGTAGACATGGCTTCTTCGTCCAGATCTGGATGGAGAAGTAGGCTAAGATGTCATGTTTCTCCATTTAGCTCTGATGGAGTCGTGGATTGACTACCACGGTAGTTAATTTTTTAGATCAAAAGGGAGGGGGGGACCCAGGGTAGCTTAGCTGATCCCACTGCACGGCCATCTGGCGTGCATGCTATCTCTCTCGACGTGCTCTTCCATCCCAACAGGGCACTGTTCAAGCTCTCTCCAGTTTGCGTCCATTTTCGCTCCTAATAAGGCAGCAGCATCTGCGCTCTCGTTTTGTTCTCGGGCAATACTGCGGATTGATATTTTCTAGTTTCTCATAAACCAGTCTCGGATATCATCTGTATATACACAGATTGGGCCCCTTAACTCTGCTTTGTTTGTGATCCATTGGACAACCCTCTTGGCATCAGATTGTACCTCGACATCCCTGATTCCAAGTTTCCATGCCCATGCAAGGCCATTAGAGATGGCTTCCGCTTCAACAACAGTAGCGTCTTCATATTTGGACTTACCACAAAAGCCCCGGATCCAATCTCCATTCGCTTTCCTGAGGATACCTCCGTAGCCTGCTTGTAGAGTGGCTGGCTTAACGCTTGCATCCACATTCAAAGTCCATTCATGTTATCCAGACGGTTCCCAGATATTAGGCTGACGTGAAGGTGCGTTGATGCCCACGATAGTTAATTAATTACTAAAAAACATTTGAAAAATTTTAATACAAAACATTTGGTTCAATTATATATATATATATATATATATATATATATATATATATATATATATATATATATATATATATATATATATATATATATATATATATATATATATATTTTTTTTTTTTTTTTTTTTTTTTTTTTTAGGCCAAGCACTTTGTGCTTAGATGGCACCCGGGTTGAACTCCTATATAGGTGGTTGTGAGTTCGAGCCTTAGTGGTGCGTTATTGGCTTTAGGTTGAGAAAGTAGTTATGAACAGATACTACATTGTAATAGAATCAGTAGCATTATATATTTTTTAGTTTGAGGGTCTAATTTTATTTTAGTTTATAGTTGGAGAGCTTATTTGACCATTTTACCAAAAAAAAAAAATTTAAATTAAATTAAATCTCAATTCTCTTGTAGGTTAAAAATGATATCTAAATCCACGGTTGGAAATCAACATATTTTTGACAACTTTTAGTGATTAGAAATCGCAAATATCCCATCAGAAACTCTTGTTCATACCACTTTGGGAATCCCCAAAAAGCTTCATTGGTATTTCTAACCACCACATAAAGGACTCGGGGAAGAGTGAAGGAGGAAGGCCGAAGGGAAGAATGAAGTTGAAAGGCAGAGCAGAAGGCGAAAATGAGGAAAGGTTTTTAGGGCTTACTGAATTTGATTTCAGAGTGAAAGAGGAATGGCAAAGTAAATTTAGGGGCGAGATTGACATAACTCAAGACATCCACTAGTACAAAAAAGTACGTCCACTATACCTATAAAAGAATTTTCGCTACATATGTACAGGTGTAGGAGATTCCGGTGTCTGTGAAAGTGCTTGGCTTTCCGTGACACCCTGTATGGGTGTCGCGAAAAGCATACGATTT